TGATCTAAACATCACTTCATCAATACTTTTTGTACTCAGCAATCGCCCAGTATTTCAACTAGTTTACCAGAGCCCAACAAAATTGTTGCTCAAAATTTTGCTCATTTTTTGCCTTTGGTACATTTGAAAAGATTAGAGGATGGCTACCCAATTAAGCCTTGATTAGTCAGTCGTACTGGATCATGTCAGGTTCACCAAATATATAGTGGATTGCTACACTTATAAGGCTTTGACAATTACTCAGTAATCTCCATGACAAAATTTGAATAATGTAGACGTGTAACGTGAACTGCATCCATTTGGATTGCGGTTGTCTGACATTGATTTTAATCGTTAATATACGATTAACGGTCTGTCGAACAATACAGCCTTCGTTGATTGGCGGTTAGATGAAAGGCTTCTACGTTCTCGGCCACACCTTGGAGCTTGTCTGAGATTCTCTCTCTAGCCAAGGTGGCTTTGTGCTCTACATAGTGGTTTGTCATTGCTCATTTGAATTATTTGACAGAACGTGCACATAAACCAGTTGATTTTCACTATAAACTTTGGGGTTATGATAAGGAAATAAGACCACCTGAAGCACACAATATTGCACTGATTTTCACTTACACTTAGTTGATTTTATTATAACCTTAATATATGCTAGTTATTAGCTGTCTTTCTATAATTTCCAATAAACATGACTTCTCACCAATAATTTATTTTAAACTTTGCACCCCTATACTAGTAAATGAAAGAAAAGTTTGAAATTACGGAAATTTTGAGGTCAGTTTTACTTCGCTTATTCAGATTAGGGTTAGATCAATTATTTTATCATTAATACTAGCTGCGCATTATTCAAGAACTGCGTCTTTTCAAGAATATACGCAGATTTCTGTCAATTCTAAGTTATGAAGTATACTAATGGGCAATAAATTTATAATTTAATGAGGTCCTTAATTAAGTTAGTTTAGACATATGGGAATGATTGCATGACAAGTAATATGCGAAAGAGGTGTTCTTTTGTCACTTAATAATTAATTAACACTGATAAGAGTCCAGTAAGTAAGAAATGGAGTACTCTGATGGAGCTGATTAAAATCTATTCTCAACTAAGTCGTTCGATTGTCGTTTAAAATAACCGCCCATTTATCTTTTCACTAGGCACGTGAATATTGTCAATTATTTTGGCTTCTAGAGTACTTAACCCCACAGTTAGCCTCACGAAATGCAAATGGAACTCAAATATGAAGAGACAAGTGTTCACTAATGTACATCGCAGTAATTAAAGAGAGTCCGTTGACGTTCCCATTAACACCTCAACGTGTTATGAATTAAGTGGAACTGTCTTAAATGACCATTTAATGCCCCAAACAAATGTGAACGTGGAAATAAATATAAAGAGACATATTATCATTATTATCATTTTATCTATCTAAGAATTGAAATTGCCGATCTGGAGTTTGAAACGTCGGAAATTTACTGTCAGCTAACACGAGATGATGGCAATGGACGAGAAATGTTAAGGTCGACATTTTAGTATTTGCGAATGCGTAAGGCTAGACTATGTCGCAATGATGATTGGGGTGTGCGACAGACTTACTTCCACGTGTTGCACCCAAGGCAACGCATACTCATACGGCAAATGAGTCTATTAACTTCTGACTTCAAACTACCATCACCCCTCTGTATGTCAAATTCGACTCCTTCCACAGTACTCAACTTACCTTTTTCTCTACCTTTGTATGTCTTGTTTACATCTGTGAAACATTATTCTGTCCCCAACTCGACTTTTTGTCACTTTGGTGTTCCTCCACCTCTCTGTGAAACCTGAGTTCAGCTGAAGGGGCAATGATGACTATCAAAACGCCTGCCATTTGAAACAATGTCACAATGATTAATTGAGCTTAAAACGAGAGAAATTCAACCAAATATTCACCTCGGCCTAGTTAATTCCATTTAGAAGTCTCTATTAGATCCACTTGACAAAGGATCCTTTTATTAGTATTCCCGTCATAATTATTTAAATAGAGACATTTATAGTACAGCGCCCGAGAGGAAAAGTGATATTAGATAGTTTCAACTCTAAAATTATTTTTGAGATCGGGTTGCTATTGTTGTCGACTTAGGTTTGTAACAGTTTCTATTCCTTGGGGATATTCGAGAAGATAGGAGTGGCACGTGATTTGAGTGAAGTTGTATTAGATTTCTTGATTGTTCAGAAGTCGTACTAACCTTCGATTTTCTGCAAAGTTATTTAGTAAAATTGACGCATTTACAAGAGTCAAAGTTCAAGTGCTTCATATATTGTATCACTAAAATGTCGAAATTGTGCAAAAATGGACACTGATAGCTTGAAATTAAACGTATATTTCTACATTTTAAGATAAAAGAATGATTTTATCATATTATGAAAATACAAAAGGAACTTCATTTTTACAAAATGTAGAATATTCATTCATGAGGCTGGAATATGATCCACAATCTTGATCGCAAACTCAACCTGAATGTTATTGATCCAATAGGCTTCCTGGCAACTAGTAATATTCAACTTGACATCCAAAAATTCATTTCATTTCTTTTTCATTTCATGCTCCAATTGACATGAAGTTATAACTGTAATTGGGTATAATTTAGAATTGAATTTTTAACTCCATTATTTACATGAAAGGGATGTTCACCAACAAAATCAAATTTACCAAGGAAGGGCTATTTTTCTCTCTCTCTCTTGCGAGATTAATTATTTTCATTGTAAAGGTTTCTTTCCAAGCCCTCAGCGTCTTTTTTTTAAAATATGGGACCATATTCCCCACCAACCTTTAATTGTATTTTACCTATCACATTACTTTGGATAGGCGCCTACCTATATCACATTGTTGAGTAAACTTGCGCAAATGGCCTCTATATTTATCTTTTTTACTCTTCAAGTATCAATCTACAATTTTTTTGTCAAGGGGTTGACATCTTCCTTAATTTGTCTTCCCACAAAATCGCATCTCCATATTCTTACTTATTGTTCTCAAGTGCCTGAAAGGCTGATTTTCCTATTTATTTTCTATATTATTGAATTATAGGTTGTGGGTTATGTTAAGAGAATCAATTGTGCCAACTTTTTAGGCGTTAAACATTCACTTCCGAATCCCACAAATATACTCACTTCTCTGGTAATCTTAGTAAGAGTTTTATTGGACCGAAATATGCCTAAGTAGGCGAAAGGAATAAAGATATTGCCCTGAAATCTTAACAAAGGATTATATACGCTTCAGTAGTCGTTTTGAATCTAACATAATGGACCTGGTAGCTAAGAGAATTAATGAATTTAATTCATCACAATATCTCCCACTACTTTACTATGGTAGCTCATAGAATTAACTAAAATTTTTGATTCGATTTATGAACAAGGTAGGGTAACTATTGGATTATCATATAGAAATCTGGTGAAAGCCGGAGTATTCAATTTGATCTGTTATGCAGGAAATTATTACCATAAAATGATCACACATATCGCCGTAAGGCTTCATATGAACTTCGAATAAGGTGTTTGCATTTCCCCGGTAATTTCTTAAATCGTTCCAACCTGCAGATATCATCGATCTGAGCATCTATGCTATTTATCCTGTGTACTTTTTGTCTGCCAACACGGCTTTGAATGCTTAAGTACCTTTCAGTATCTCTTATTTTTAAATATTTTTAACATTAACAAGTCAAAATGGCCTTGAACATCTTTCTTGTGAAGTGGTCATGGAACAGAAAGAATGATAAAGCAACAACGAATTCCTGCAAAATTCTATCACTTTTCTCTCCCTCAGTTTAGTTATCCTCGTAATCTCCCATCCATAAATGTCCACGCATTCAACTGCCTTATGTAAAAATTAATGTTCATAATTGATCTAGAGATCAAATCGATCGTATTACCAGTGGTTCAATTAGATATAATATAATTAGATAGAGCAAAGGTATACTTCCCCTTAACTCCTTGTAAAGATTCCCTAATACTGCGTGGTTCACATGCCTTTCACTAGATGAGATTGTTAGTTTGTAAATAATAACTGCAAAAGACGTTAAAATGTTGACGTTTTTGATGGACGAAGCAAAGGAAGCATCGCACAACTTCCTATTTTTTTTGAACTGCAAGAAAAAAAGCAAAAAGCTTTTCTTTATTCACCACTTGCATTATGTGGTATACATTGGCAGAAATTCGGAAAAATTTATCAAGAAAATATAGAAAGCGCAATGTAAATAGAGAAACCTTAGGCCCTCTGTTTAGAAGATGATATGTATTAATACAACGAAGGGATTGTGACCTTAATGTCTACTGGTAAAAGTCATATGGTTACTTCTGGAGTGGTATGGTATCCAGAGGCTGTAACTAAATTAGTGGAGAATGACCATAAATCACTTCAAAATCGCGTAAATACCACTCTTGAATTAAGTCTGATGTAAAGCTGAGTCTGTTTTTGAGGAGAATGAATTTATGCGGCTGTGTTGTATTAAGAATATAACACTCAACGCATGAGCCTACTTTCTTAAAATAAAATTGAATATTCATAAAATGCAAATTTCTTTCATCCCGTCGCCTTTGGTACGGTAATCAGACAATTGACCTCCAGTCGGGAAATGGGAAGGCGTATTATGAGGTCAACCATGTGATGTTTATCGGCAGAGGGAAAACGCAGGTTACTACGGCTAGTTCTGACAAGATCTATAATTGTCTAGACATTGTTATTATTATTTCAAATGGCAGGCGTTTTGATAGATATCATTAGCCCCTTAGTTAACTTCGTCTTTCACATGGAAGGGGGGTGGAGGAACATATATTTAGGATTTAGGACAGTTAACAGTAGTTAATTAGTTGACTTTTCTTCCAGAATCTCTGGGTTCCCGCCTTTGTCTTTAGGGATGGACACCAAATCAGGTGGGTCATCTCCATTTCCTCCTGTAGGTTACATAGAGGGCATGTGGGTTGAGTGTATACTCCCAATCTGTGAAGATGTTTTGCCAAGCAATCGTGTCCGGTACGTAGTCTAAACTCAGCATCGCTTTCTATTCTTCTCCAGTCGGCTATGTCGGATAGTGCCACTGTTCACTGTTTCTCCTTTATTCGAGCTTTAAGTTCGTTTGCACGTTGAAGTCTTGAATCCTCCAATGATTAAGGACTTCATTGTGTGGAAAGACAAGGTCGGTCAGCCTCATGTTAACCATTCTTTTCATAAGTTTAGCCGACATCCTTTGAGGGAGATAGGCCTACAGTAGTCAAAGATGCTAGGGTCTTTGTCATTTTTAAGTATTGGTATTACTATGACAACTTTCCATTGGGTAGGTACGAGACTAGTATCCCAAATTTTGTCGAATAATGTCAGCATGATTTTCTTGGCTTTTACCCCATTCTAATTAGAAATTGGATACCGTCTTCACAAGAAAACTTTTTGCACTTTAGCTGTTTTGTCGCGGCATTAAGTTTGCGAGGGCTGAATGGCTCAGCAAGGACATTGTATGTTATTGTTGTGTCTTCTTTAGTTTCACCAAACTGTCTTACTTGTATCTATATATCGCTTGAAGAGTTTTTGGCAAATGGGTTTTTCTTTTGCTTGTGGGAATAGAACCTAACAAAGGAGTTAGCTATTTAGGATTCGGTGGTAAGCAGTTTGTTGTTTAAGCGTATTGGTTCATTATTGGGTCTTTTCCAATTTGCTGTTTAAGCGTATTGGTTCTTTCTTGGGTCTCCCAGTTATTTTGGAGGTTACCCAGGTGCGTTGGTTATCACTTTGATAGTTGATATTTGAGATGAAAAAGTTGTCGAAAGTAGTCCGTTTGGTGTGTGAGATGGCTTGCCTTAGGACATCTGACTGTCGTCTCCAGACTTGCACGTCTTCCGTTTTTCCAGTCTGTTCACCAGTGTTTCGAAGGGCTTCCCGTTTTCGTTTCAGTTCCTTAAGGTGTTTAGTCTTGCAAAGGTGAATGGGTTTCTTCGCACATCTGATCATAATATTCGTAATATCGCTGCACAGTTTGTCAGGAGCGTCAATTATTTTGCGGTGTGTATGCTATTTGATGTCGCTTGAAGCCAGGAGCAAGTCAGGAGTTGTTCTGGTTCCATTGTAGTGAAGATATGTAGCAGGATACTCATTAATATAAATAAGTTCTAGAAGATTGCTGTTAAGCATGTCTTCGATTTCCTTTCCAGCTATGTTTGTATTCTTATAGCCCCCATCTGATGGAATGGGTGTTGAAGTCTCCAGATACTACAGTTTTGTGTGAGATGTTCAGAAAGTCAAAGTTGGGATTATTCTGGGGTGGGTTATAGACTGCATATATCTTGAAGTGGTTTTGATATTTCCAAACATTTAATTATATTATTTCACACATGTTTTTGTCGAGCCCATACTCTTGATTAGATCGTAGTGTGATATGAGGCCTTCTTTTACTCCAGTCAGAATTCCACTTGCGACTTGCCGGTATTTAAGTAGATGGTATAAGGTGTAGCCTGGGAATTGATAGTATTTGAGTTTGTCATCCGTAAGGTTGGCTTCCATGATTGTGAATATGCCTATATCATAGGTATGCAGGATTTTTTGGATTTGGATCTTCTTGTCTTTTGACATCCCTCGAGCATTCCACTGAAGGATCTGTAGAAGTTATGATTCGCCCTGACAAGAGCGATTTCTCTTAAGGTTTCGTTTCAGGCTGATCATAATAATTTGAAGTCAAATACCGAGTTATAGACTTTTTTGCCGTATAAGTATACGTTGTCCAGGGTGCACCACGTGGAGGTAAGTCTATTGCACATCTCATTGTCTAGACATAATACACAGTTTAAACTAATTGCATAAAGTCGCCACCTAGAACCACCTAAGAAGCCATTAGTTATAAATGAATTGTCTAAGAGTTACTGCAAACTGAGCTAATATTTTAATGAAACTGAAATTGCTCAGATCCCGGTAAACAGAAAATATACATTTTTAAATTCTATTTTCTTGTGGGGAATGAGTTTTATTAATTAGTACAATCATCATTATTAATTGTTTTTAAAACTCGGCTATTTTTGGGATGCAACTGGTATAATGAGAAGTGAAACCCACTAGTAAGGCTGTTTCAAGAGTGGAGTTTTGGAATAAGCAGACATTTTGAAGGCCAAATTTGAAGTCATAACGGTTGCCTACTAGTAACCTAATAAATAAAATAAAATTGCATTAGTGCTGAGCACGCATATACAAGCAGGCTAATAAACCTTGAGTAGTCTCCAATCCAGTATCCGAGAGATACAGTATATGCGCTTCAAATTGGATAAGATAATTGGTAAGATAATCACTATTGAAAAGAAGGATGCAGTGTGCTCGAAATAAAGTTGACAATCCCAATAGGAAAAAGAATTATATTTAAAAGGCGTTCAATTGACAAGGAATTAGCACTACTGTCAAAATCTGTTACTCGAAGTAACTGTCATTAGAGCCTATTAAGGCCTCAATCCGGCCTTGGAACCTGGAGTAAGATGAAGTTGCACTTCCTCCGGAAAGGCTTCCGTTTTGTAAGTTAGTTGTACTTTTGTGACTCACTCAGGGGAGCCCTTTATGAATAAACAGGTCATTGAGGTAAGATATGGAGGTGAAGAGTTGTGTGGCCAAACAAACATGGAGAGTAGTGTGAACGATTTTTCCCCAAGGTATGGCAAGCACCAAATCCTCCTGCCACCGTAACTAAGTCTAATTATAGTGCTCAAAGTCTTAACTATTTGAATCTAGCTAAAGGTCTTTAAAAATATGCGGATTATATTATCACATCGCATCACCTTTGAAGGAGCATCAAAAGGCCTAATAAATGGTCCGAACGATTCAAGAAGTCAAAGGCTCCTTTATATGGTGTGCTTTTCATTTTGCAAAAATTTTCTTCACGGGACAAAATCCGAAGGTATGTGCTTCATTTTGGTTAACAGTTTCTTTGTCTTGGACAAACCGATTTAGTTTGTCATTTCTGCTAGAAAGTGTTATCTGAGACGCTTGTTGAACGTATAGTAGCGAATGCCTTTATTGAATGCAAGATCCATGGTAGAGGCTGAAATATCCAAATCCGGTTTCTAGGACACTACAGTAATTGATATTCACGAAAAGTGATCGCTCAAACCACAACCAGATCAAATCGTCTGCTACGTCTATTGCAATTCTCTAATTCATACTTGATTGTTTTCATGGTGTTTCTTATTGTGATGGGCGGTGCCAACCAACATGATTTATGCTATTCTCTTATAGGATTCAGGTGAATTTAAGTTGTCACGCTTTGTAGTGGATATAACCTATATGAATAAAAATGGGTATACAATTTCGAACGAAGTGCAGTGTGCGTAGACACCTTTGACACATTTAGAACAAACCAAATCTTTCTCTAAAAAAAACTTATTTTGAATACCCGTAATCATGTCAAGAAGTCAATAATTTCCTTTTTGGGCCATTCAATCAATTTCCAAGTTGATCCCAAGCACTTCGAAAATAAAATTTAATGATAAAATTACGCAGAAGCGGAAACTTTGACATTTTGTTTTCAAAGTAAGATACTAGGTGCAAATGGTGTTTTAGTGAGAACACGAGAAAACTAGCTCCGCATCAATCAGATTCGTCAAAGCTGGATTTCATCATGACCGAATTACCGGCCGCATTTCTCTCAAATGAGAAGTTCGAAAAGATTGAATATATTCGTTTGAACGAGACCAGTGAAGGGACGTTTCATTTAATAAATGCCTTAAGAAATTAAAAAAAAATAAATTTTATAGAATATGTTTTCTATTCAAAATACAAGGTAACGTTCGAACATTGAAATAATTAGAATTACTCGAACTTATTGCTTAATACCCCATCGTATTTAAATATCGTCATAGAGTCGCAAATGTTTAACCTTCAGAAGTTACGCATTAACGGTGCTAGAAATTCATCAAAATATCTATTTTCTATTCTCTCGAATTCTGTCTTGTTAACTACCTGTTAACGTCGCATCCGCGTGGTACTTTGGCTATCAAAATCTTAACAGTGATCATGTGAGTTAATCGTATATCGATTGAGCTCTGAATATTCGTTTATCAAGATCCTCAGAATACAAAGCTTCATAGTGGAACTTTAAAGCCTTTGAATTCGATACAATGAGCTGTGCATACATAAAGTAGAAAGCATGAAATGAAGGTGCGCAAATCTAGTGAATTAAGATTTCTGTTTTCTACTTTTCTCCTTTGTGGGACACTTCATCAATGACCAAATAGAAATCCTGCTATAGATCACTACTCAGAAATATTTAGCTATTAATGTTCATGCGAATGGGGTGTGCGATAGACTTACCTCCACGTGGTGCACCCTGGGCAACGTATACTCATACGGCAAAAAAGTCTATTAATCGGCAGTTGACTTCAGACTCCAAACTACCATCACCTCACTCTATGTCAAATTCGACTACTTCAACCGTACTCACCTCACCTTTTTTCCAACTTTGTGTCTGTCTCTTTTACATCTTTGAAACACTCTTATGTCCCCCCCCCTCATCTCTATCTTTTTCACTTTGATGTTCCTTCCCATCTGTGAAGCCTGGAGTCAACTAAAGGGATAATGATAATCATCAAAACGCCTGCCATTTGATATAAATAAATAAATAAATGTTCATGCGAATTATGCTAGAGTTATCTGATAACTAATCGCTTTGCCAAAAGGGACACTTCGCTATCAATATACGTACTGAATAAACATATTCCCTGCTACATGTCTGTTTCCCTTATAGCTGGGCTATAGGTTAGCTTGTTCTAGGAGTCTAACTAGATGGTGGAGAATCTGCCATAGAGATTTCTGAGTC